CTCTCCCTCTCAGGCAAGGCGCACCAGGAACACAAGGTACGCCCCCCTCCACGGCCTCCAACTCCACCTGCGTATCGGACCCCCGTGTTCGATACGCGGAGGCCATGGGGCCAGGAAAATGGAGCGCTTAGTAGCACCCGCTTTCCCGACCCCAGCGGCAGATCTGGTATCTGGCTCCGCCGCCAAACAAGTTTCGGCCGCGGAGGCTAGGGAGAGCGGCACCTCGCAATACCGACACTCCTCTCCCCCGGCGGCCCCACCATCACCTGATCAACGGTGCGGTCCCATCTGAATCGCGGAGGATAGGGCGAGTGGCGCAACGCCATACCAACACTCCTTTTCCTCCGCGACTCCACCTCGGCTGCAGCGGCAGGGGGAGAGGACACCCCTCCCACCGCAGCCCACCGCCAAGCCCACTCGGAGTGGCCACCTCGGGCCGGCCCCACACCACGGGCCAGTCAAGGGGTTCCTCTTTGTTAACCGCGGGTGACCAAGCCACGGCTACTAAGCCCCCCCGCCACGACAAGGCGGGAACCCGTTCGGGGGAGGGGGGAAGTCCAACTTCTACCTAGAGGTCAATCGACGGATTCAACACGGCTGGGCAGCGTTCGGGAAACTACGACACATCTTCTCGTCAGGTATACCTCAAAACCTGAAAACGTAATTGTACAACCAGTGCGTGTTGCCAGTGATGACTTATGCATCTGAGATGTGTGTGAGAGGACTATGCTCGAGGTTTCTCTGCGTGATAAACTTAGAAATGAGGATATCCGCAGTAGAACCAGAGTTACCGACATAGCCCAAGGGATTAGTAAGCTGAAGTGGCAGCGGGCCGGCCATATAGCTCGAAGAACCGACAACCGATGGGGAAGAAAAGTTCTCGAGTGGCAGCCTCGTACCGGTAGGCGAAGTGTAGGGCGACCCCCACTAGATGGAGTGACGTCCTGGTAAGACATGCAGGAAGTCGATGGATGCAGGTGGCTCAGGACCGTGCTCTGTGGCATTCCTTGGGGGAGGCCTATGTTCAGCAGTGGACTTATGAAGGGCTGTAATGATAGTGATGATGATGATGATACATTACAAGAATACTTATTAAAAGTCATTTAAGTTTTACCACTACTTATTCATTTTGCTTTAGAAATGATTAAGGTAACTAGTATAATGAAGAGTTTGCAAGGCATTTTCTACCGACTTCAAAAATAACGAGGTACTCAATTCGACTGTATGTTTTTCTTTTTTTTATATAAGTTACCTTATAACTTTTTACTGAGTGCACTGATTTCGATGATTGTTTTTTTTTATTTGAAAGTTGGTGCTCTTCATGTGGTCCCATATTTTGATCAAGGTCTGACCAATAATTTTTGAGTTATTCTTAATATTGAATTATAATTATTGAAGTCGGTTGTAAAAAATTTTTAAATTTTAAATACCTATTGTCCTCAGAGATGACAAGGTGTCTGTATCCTTCTTTGTTTGTAGTTGGTTGCACGAGTCCATGGGCAATTAGTAGCCTCTTACCATCAGGTTGATTGTAAGTTCGTTTGTCTCTTCAGCACACAATAAATATTACAGTACCTACTCTTCAATTTTATAAAAAAAAAATGACGCTAATGCTTCTTTGGTGGCCATTTAATAACCTCGAAATATCTTTTTTTTTTTATAGAATAGGGGGCAAACGAGCTTCCGGCTCACCTGATGGTAAGTGACTACCGCCGCCCATGAACAACCGCAACACCAGGGGAATTGCAGATGCGTTGCCGGCCTTTTAGAAAGGTGTAAGCTCTTTTCTTGAAGGTTCCTAAGTCGTATCGGTTCGGAAAATTCGCTGGTGGTAATTGATTCCACAAAGAAGTTGTGCGAGGGAGAAAACTTCTTCTAAATCGCACAGTGGTGGACCGCCAATCATCCAGATGGTACGGATGGTAACGCGAGTTTTGTCGCGACGTGCGATGGTGAAATTGAGCGGCTGGAATTAGTCCGAACAATTCCTCAGAGCACTCCCCGTGATAGATGCGATAAAATACGCAAAGAGATGCAACATCTCTACGCAGTGCCAGTGTATCGAGCTGATCGGAAAGAACTCGGTCGTCGACGATTCGAATCGCTCTGCGCTGGATGCGGTCAAGTGGAAGGAGCTGGCACTGGGGTGCCCCGGCCCAGAGATAAGAACAGTATTCCATGTGGGGCCGAACTTGCGCTTTGTAAAGTTGCAAGCGATGTGCCGGCATGAAGTACTGTCTCGCTCTGCTGAGCACGCCAAGCTTTTTAGAGGCCAATTTGGCCTTCAGACCCTTCAGACACAAGTTTGTCCCGGTACTCGGCGACGTTTTCCCGAGAAATATTGGCACGGCCGGTATATAAGGCATCCCCAGTGCTGTCGTCTGCATAGCAATGAATGCTACCAGTTAGCAACATATCATTGATATGCAGGAGAAAGAGCGTTGGTGATAGCACGCAGCCTTGTGGAACACCAGCGTTGATAGGCTTGTAATCAGAGCATGCACCGTCTACTACGACCTTGATGCTCCGATCAGTAAGGAAACTGGTGATCCATTTGCACAATTTCTCGGGAAGCCCATAGGAAGGAAGCTTCGAAAGAAGCGCCTTGTGCCAGACCCGATCGAAGGCCTTCGCTATGTCCAAACTAACGGCCAATGCCTCCCCCTTGGACTCTACTGCCTCCGCCCATCTATGAGTTAAGTAAACTAGAAGATCACCCGCTGATCGACCCCGACGAAAACCGTACTGACGGTTACTGATCAGCTGGTGATCTTCAAGGTACCTCATGAGCTGGCAGTTTATAATGGATTCCATTATTTTGGAGAACAAGGAGGTGATAGCGATAGGCCTGTAGTTGGACGGGTCTGAGCGGTCGCCTTTTTTAGGGATCGGGTGGACCAAAGCTGTCTTCCATGAATTCGGGACTACGCCTTGGGAGTAGGAGTACCGGAAAAGACGCGTTAAAACCGGTGCCAACTCCGGAGCACACGTCTTCAGCACAATGGGAGGGACTCCATCGGGTCCACTCGACTTGCTGACGTCCAGGCAGAAGAGTGCTTTGCGAACCGAGCGCTGTGTAAATCGCACATCCGGCATGGAGCACTCACATCGCGGGATGGTCGGCGGTGTGTTCCCCCCGTCATCTAGAGTCGAGTTAGACGCAAAAAGAGAGCACAACAGATCGGCTTTCTCTTTTGCGGCATGGGCCAGTGAGTCGTCCTCTCTGTGCAGAGATGGAAGGGATGGCTGACAGAAGTTCCCTTGGACAGCCTTGGCGAGAGACCAGAATGCACGGGTTCCCGAAGGAAGGCGAACTAGCTTTTCGCCAATTCTGCCGATGTGCTCAGACCTTGCCTTGGCAATGACGCTTTTGAAGGACCTGGAGGCGGAATTATACTTCTTTTTAAGTGCGCTGGTGTTTAAATCCCGAGACGTTGATGCATCAGCCCAGGCCCGGTAGCACTCCTGCTTATAGCGTGATGCTATTTTACAGGAGCGACCAAACCATGGCTGGGATCTGTCTCCGATGGGCACCACAGAGGATGGAATAAAAAGTTCCATACCCTGAAGTACCACATCAGCAACAGAATCGGCAACAACGCTGGGATCTTAAGGCGAGAAGCAAACCCCAAGGGTTTTTGCATCCTACCCTACCTATGGGTAGGATGCAAAAAAAGACCGCATCCCGTCCCAATCAGCTGACCTATAGTGCCAAACACGGCGGCAAGCTGCAGATCGCAACTGCGATTGGAGCGTGAGTGGCACCGTGCTCCGGATCAGACAATGGTCCGAAGAGCCCAGAGGGGCATCGACGGAGACCTGATATCCGTCCGGATGAGAGGTCAGCAGAAGGTCCAACAGGGAAGGTACATGGTCTTCCACATCTGGCCATATGCCAAAGCAAAGTCGTACACAGATCTACCCGCATGATCGGTTAAACGAGAACCAAGCCATTCAGCGTGGTGGGCGTGGAAATCACCGAGTATCACGATCTCTGCGGATGGGACCTGTTGTAGCACGGAGTCTGCAGCCATTTGGACGTGGTCGATGAGTCGGTCTGTGTCGGCATTACCGCTATGGGACCTATAGAGGCACCCGTAGACGCGGGGATGATCGTCGCTGTCTACGCGCAGCCATAGGATGGACAGGTCCGTACCTTCAAGGCTGCCGAGGCGTCGAAAACAGATGTCCTCTCTGACGTATACACAAACTCCAGTCCGGGGCACAAAGGAGTGTTCCAATTTGTATCCCGGGTAGGAGAGATATGAAGTATCAGCCGGAGAGGACACCTGAGTCTCGGTTAAAAAGAGCAAGGCCGGCTTCGCCGTCTCTAGATGGTAATGGGCAGCGTTAAGGTTGGAATGAAGTCCCCTGATGTTGCAAAAATTCACGGATAGCGTGACAGGGGTCGCCTTGGTTGTATTGCTCCGCTTGCCCCGAGCAGCATTAGTCACGAGCGGAATTTTGCCCCCCCCCCAGAATACGCGGGGCAGCCTGAGCACCCACGCTCAGGAGTGAAGTAGTTTGGTCGTGGATGCTCAGCGAGGGATTCTCCAGGGGTGCTGGTACCCTCCTGGGGTAGTCTTGTATTTAATTCCACTACCATGTTGATGGGGGGGGGGGGGAATTGGGCCTCCGGCCACCTGCACTCACCAAGCGCAACGCAGAGGTAAACCTCTACTTCACGCTGGTATTCTGTGAGGTCGTGGTACCACCCCGGTTCGAGCTGGCCCATCCGTGCGACAGCAAAAGCTACCGCTTAGCTCTACCACTGTTAGAATATCTCGATACTCATTACAATGATCAGGTAGATTAATGACAAATTATTTATTTACATCATTTTATTATTTGTGTATGTACATTTTTTTACTTTTTAATTACAGTTTTGAAGCAAATTGTAATGTTCGTACATCACCTTTGTATGAATATTACAATTTATTGGTATCTTTATTATTAATACTACTTTGGCGATAACAGTAACATACAACGCTATAAATGATTCATAGGTGATCTTCGAACGTTGACTGTAGTGAACTTAACATTTGTGAGTTTATTAATGTTGATGCGTCTATAGCCCACAGATAGTCTAAGTGATTGAATTTCGGGTCCGGCACTAAGTAAGCTTCTGTTGTTGAAGGCAATTTATCTAGAAGCATTTTCACATCTTTTTCACTCGATAATAGATCATTTCGAGCCCAGTATAAATGTATGGGTAATGTAATTTTACTCAAGTCATATTCTGGGGGTTGGTCGCTCCCATACATTCTTTGATTGTTAGATGGACCAAAGTCAAATTGCTGAAATTTATTTCTTGCCAAAATCTCTTGAGCAAAATGTAATACAGTTTTCCACGATGTTCCAGCACCATAATGAGACAAGAACACAGGTAACAACGTCTCATTGTATTGTTTCTCGTTTTCACCACACAATTGAAAGATAAAATTTTTACAAATCTTATCATCTATATAATCAACATTACATGAACTTACTATCTCTCCGAACATAGAATTCTTCGGCAGAAATTCGTGGCTGCCGTACAGCATCTCCATATGAGCGACGTTTTTGCCAACAGATGCGAGGGATTTAATTGGGGATTTGAAATCTGACATGAAGATGACGGGCGCTAACGCATAACCAGCAGTTAAAATGTTATTGTATTCTGGTCGCAACGTTAACATAGCGAAGAGGATAGTCGTCCCCATAGAGTGTCCTATGTAAGTGATCTTAGTACCTTCGCCTTTTAGTTTCATTATGTAGTCGATGATGTTAGGAATATCGTGCAGAGCGACATCGTGCCAGGAAAAGTTCCAATATGACTTCGTATTCGTTTTCAGCCAGGCGTGTTCTTTCGAATAGCGGTTACCTCTTATATTGGACATCCAGACGTCGTATCCCGCGTCAGCCAAGACATAAGCCAGTGCTTTACCTGGCCCATTCATTATCCAATCCGCTGAACTAGCGAAAATTCCATGTTGGAGTAGTATCGTCTTTGGTGAAATTTTTCTGTCATTCTTGGAATGAGGTATTCTGTGTAAATTCAACAGATAGCCGTTGGACACTACCGTGTGTGTTTCGCATCTATATCCGTTGCGTGCTACCCTCGCTGGTACAGTCAATGTTACATCAGGATTTTGGAGTTTTGCGTCGGCTTCTTCTGTAGGAAGATAGGTAAAAGAATCAGCGATTTGTCTTCCTCTATCCTTAACATTTTCAATACAACTGTTAATTTCCGTGTTGATCTTGTTCCTTTGCTCTTCTACATAACTGTCGAAAGAGTTTTTCACTTGCACCGCTCTGTCGTAACTAGACGTTAGAGCATGTTCAACTTGACGACTTTGTTCTTTCAGAAAATTTAAGACACTGTCCGACTGATCATGTAAGAACTGGTCAAACGGAAACGATTGGACTCTAGTCAAGAGAATTAAATAAACAAGTACCGTGTACATTGCTCGCGCTGTTAATACTAGAGATTTACTTTGGCACACTACGTAATATTAACAATATCAACGATGACCTGCTGGATGGATGAGGTCACTACGTCAGTGCACGTTTATTCCCCAGCTATCATTTGTCACTTCTATTTATTACGTCATTACGAGTTTACATAAATCAGTCTTTTATCTATAAAGTATTTTTTTATTCATCATGTCATAATGATATATATACAACGTCGTATTTGAAAGTATTATAAGTCCGTTTTATACCGTCCTTTTTGCGGAATAAAATTTAAAAAGTTTTATATATACTTTCTCTTCTTTAAACCTCGCAAAAGTCCGCTGCTGGAGATGGACCTCTCCCGTTGCGTTGTAAGAAGGATTAGCTCAATATACATATATATATATATATGGTTGATGCCGTGTAGAGATGACGTAACATAATACATTACCCTATTATCCCGTAAGTGTCACTTACCCCAGAAGTACAAAGGCGTGGATGGATTCTCTTACGTCGCGTCACCACGAGCAGAATTGCAGGTGCGTTGCCGGAATTTTAAAATGGAGTAAACTCGTTTCTTGAAGGTCATGTCAGTCCGTAAAATCGCCGGTGGTAAAAGATTTTTTTTATGGGATATCGGTGACAAACGAGCACACAGTCCACCTGATGGAAAGTGGTTGCTGTGGCAGATGTCTATTGGTGATTTTTAAGGACCGATATTACTTAGGGACCTTTTGTACATGGTAGAGCCATGCTGCAGCTATATTAGTAGTATAGTTGTAGCACGAATGGGTCGGCTCGACCGGGGAAGGACCACGCTCTCACAGAATACTAGCGTAAAATAGCAGCTTAACACTGCTGTGTTTCGTATGGTGAGTGCAGAGAACCGGATAACCTTTTTACTGGAAAAGAGGCATTCAATCTTAGTCCTCACGGGTGACAAGTGACAACGCATCTGCATTTTGATTCGCAAATGAGGATAAATGTAGATGTCTATGGGCCACAGCAACCACTTATCATCAGGTGGACTGTGTGCTCGTTTGTCACCCTATCCTATAAAAAATATCCAAATATTACCAGTTGTTGACGCACATTACGATCATATGTCTGCCATTTCGAATAAAGGTACCACATTTACGTTCAAGGGTACTTTGTTTATACGCCATATAACTGATTATGGGTCTGATGAAATATGTTACTATCACATAATCATCTATTTAACAAAAAAAAAACAGAAGATGTTGTTACTGGTTCACCAGAGTCACTGTTAAAATCTCCTTTGCCTAATCCAACCCTCCAGGACTCACTAGTTTCAAGAAATAAGGATCATCTTAGTTTCCGTTCGTTATCGCCAGCTCTAGTGCCTAATTCTAATACCTAGAATACTTATAAACTTATAATATTATAAATTTCTACGAGATGTGCTACGGGAGTGACGAAGAAAGTGATGACATTATTAATCTGCGACAACCCTGAATCTAGAATGAATGAAAACGATGAAGAGAATCGTTTTAATTGAAGTTTCTCTGCAACTTATGATTCCATCTACAATATCCATCCAAGACAAGTTTTGATCTTGAATAGATATTGTAGATGGAATCAACTTCGTATATTATCGTCCTCAAGTGACGAAACAATCTTCGACAGAAATGATGTCACTTATGTTGTCTATTTTTGTTTATTTTTTATTGTACTACTTTGATTAGTTAATATGTGTTCAGAATAATTACAAGACTGATAATAAGTATTAACTATTTGTTGTTAGAAGTTAGTGTTGATGTTATGTTTTTAAGTTTAAGACTTTAAGGCCAAAACTGTTCATTCCCGTCGATTTCGTGGTCACTCCTGTCTATTGTTAAAAACGGAAAAATCAATTTTTTTTAAATTTCTTAGTATATTTAACTATGTCATTATTTTTTACATGTTCCTTAAATACCAAAAAATATTTTTATTTTTATTTATTTTATTTCACCTCACGGTAGAATGACCAATTATTGTGAATGTATTTTATTAATTTGTCATTTGTTTACGATTTGGCGGCAAATTGAAAATTGTCTGTGTCACGTCAGCATGGATGTAACGCGAGTAAATTTTCTTACAATGATTTTTTATTACATTAACATTCCGTATGACGAGACAGATATGAAATCAAATTATCTGGACCTGGCTCACGAGGAGATCGACATGTGGAGTGGTTTGCCGACCTATATTATACCTGTAGTCGTCTCTGCGAATGGACTAATCCCGGTCAGCTTCTCGGGTCATATGTTATATTATAAACGTGATGATAAAATCTGTTCGTATTGTGTAATGAAAAGTCCGCTGTATACATTGTATATAAAGATATACTGTTACAACTGACAGTAATGATAAAACTTTGACATTAACAGCTAAATTACCCAAAGTTGTTAAATCTGTATGAACGTCTCTTGTACGTACTGTCTTTGCTATTAGACAGTGCCCATGTCAGTCTGCTTTTATATATAATAAATAAAATAAAATATTTAAAATATATCCAATGCAATTATTGCAATTAAATATATGCAAAAAAAAACTTTTATGCATTGGTTGTATACATTGTCTTATGACGAGGTTGAAAATCTTTTAAATAGAATTGTCTGAAATCTATCTCACCAATATCTTATAAGTACATTTAAGGGTAATAGTCTAACAGTATGCCGTTTTTCATAGTTGATGAGTAAAATTTTATATTGGAAGGCAACTAGTCTTCTTACTTATACTTTCTTCATCCACCAACACATACACACACACACATACACTCCTTTATATACACATACTAATTACAAATTTTCTAGAGGTTAAACTGTTTGTAATCTTTACTTTTTTGTAATTCTTAAGGGAAGTAGCGGGTCATTCCCAACACGAGTATCTTCTGATTACGCACTGGGAAGTCGCAGTATTATGTTGTTAACAAGATTTACGAAATAAACGTATTATAAACGTAATAAATTTGCATCTATGTTTCACGATAATACATGATAAGATATTTTCTTACTTAGCGCATTTTTCGTAACAATGAATTATTATCAATACCAAAGCGACAAACTAAATCGATCGAACACTGCTTTTTTAAACATGAATGACACCAAATGTAAATTGAACCGGTGCGTGTTAGTAATATTATAAATACTACTGTATGGATTTAAATGAAATTTTGCACACTGTTTCACTTTATCCCGTCATCACCGTTGCATCCCGATAAAAGGAACCCGTGGCATAATTTTCAATGTTGGTCCATACCAGGCGAACGAAGCCGCGGGCGGAAGCTGGTAAAAATAAACAATGACGAAGTAGGTTACAGTTAATAATGTACGTACTTAGACAATAAAACGAAGTAGACGATTTTATTTTAACAAAAATGTTTATGTTCTGTTATTAGTAGGTTAATATTTTGGGATCGGCGTTCGAGACGTTCGAGGTTTGTTGGTCAGGGGTCATAAAGTTAAAAGTCGATTTTTTTTTATTTAAGTGGGATATTATATGTAAGTATAACTTTTTCTAACGTCATTCAGGGCCCCTTGAGCTTGGGGGCCCCGGGGCATAGCCCCGCCTAGCCCCAAGGTAGCTACGCCACTGGGTTTATCTATGAAATTGCCGTTCTAGAGTACTGGCAATTCCAAATCAAAATAATGTTTGTGGGGCACAATTCTAATTTAAAATTAATTTTATTTTAAAAACATGGAATTATTTGTTTTTTCAAAATTAGTCATTTGTTTAATGATTAGCGTTATGTTTTCATCGCATTCGAATCTTTTTCGTCGTCATGGAACTTACCCCTAGAAAAGTTATGGCTACTGTTTGGTGGTCTAGCGCCGGTGTGATTCATCACAGCTTCTTAACAAACGAGATGAGCATTACTGTAGATGTGTATTGTGAAGAACTGAACACAATGACGGAGAAGGTCACACGTTTCCAACCAGCTTTGGTCAAACGCTCGTCCCCGCTGCTCCTGCACGACCTCATAATGTACAATAGACGGTCTCCAAGTTACTAGAGTTGAGGTTGGAAGTTCTCCGTCATCCGCCGTACTCACTAGACGTAGCGTCTATAGACTTCTACTTTTTCAGAATTTGAATAACTTTTTGGCGGGAAAAAAATTAAATAAAAAGTAGTAGAAAATGCCTTTGAAAAATTTGTTGCTTCCCATTCAGCTGATTTCTTTGAGAATGGCATCAATAAAATGCCACTACGTTGGCAAAGATGCATCGATTGCATGGGTGATTACTTTGATTAATAGAAATTAAAAAAGATAGGAAAAAATTACGTTAACTTATTTTATAAAAAACGGCAATTTCATAGGTAAAGACCTAATATTATTTTTAACTTTTTATTTAACGCAACGTAAAATTATTAATAATTAATATTAAGTAAGTATTAAATTATTAATTGATTATTTAATGTCTTTTTGCACAGTTTCATACTTCTATTCTTATCGCATAGTAATAATTTATATGTATATTTATTATTTAAAGAAAAACGTTACCCACACAATAGCATTTTCTTCTGTATCGTAGTGGCAGTTTAGATGCATACATTTCACAAGGGCAAACATTCAGACCCAAAACAAATAATGTTATTTTTTACACATATTTAAGAAAGCTAAAATAAAAGATAACATAATTTCCACATAAATCAATAGCTTCTGAAGTAGGTCGAAGAATTAAAGCCCCGACTTCAGAAACTATTATAGTAATAATATTATCTGAATCTGGCTCACGAGGTGACCGACATGTGGGGTGGTCTGCCGGCCGAAATTATTCATGTGGTCGTTTCTGCGAACGGGTTAATCCCAGTCAGCCTCTCGGGTCATCTGAGGCGACTGGGACTCCGAGACGGACCGCTTCAAGCTCAAATACAGAAGGCGGTGCTCCTCGATACCGCCCGCATCGTCCGCCGGTTTCTTTCCCTTTCCCCCTAACCCTTGGCCGTTTGGTCTACCCTGCAGAGGGCTTCCATTTGGTTGGGTTTTTATGTATTTTATGTATTTATT